GGCCACCTGCCACCCTTGGAACACAGGCCTAGATCCTTCCATAGCTGCAGCCCCCTAGTTGACTATGCCTGTGCATCCTCCATCCTCAGCCTCTCCCTCCCTCTCCCCAGGCCATGAAGTCAAACACTCAGCTCCCAGGTGAGTGACCAGGAGGGTCCACCCAGCTGGGGGAGTCCGAGATCTCCAGACAACAGCTCTTTAAAGATCCGGCATGATGCAAAGGTCCTACAGTCTCACCTTCCAGAGACTCTGTCCAATTGGTGTCCCCCTGGCCTCACCCAGCCACCTCACTCCTTCATGTCACCTGCACAGCCTACAGGCATTGCATTATCTGAAGGATTGTGTGGGAGCCTGGAGGCAGTGGGGAATGTTAGGATTAGAGAGAGCCCAGGTAGAAGCTGTCGATCTCATGGCATTATCAGAGAAATCGTGGCCCTGCTGAAGTGACGTTTACCCATAGCATTGTGTGTGTAATAAATACAACTTCCTATTCCAGTTTCCAAAGAGAGCCCAGTGCCTGAAAACCTCAGGGCTCATGTACAATAAATTAACATAATTAAAAACTAATTAGTAAAACATCACAATTAAAAGGACTTGCTGAGGCAACACCTCTCAGGTAAGAAGAAGGGACCGCCAGAGTGCTGGCAGCTAGTACACACAGCAGGTTCTGAGAAGAGGCTGTGATGCAGGACTTGCCCTCCCGAAAGGCTTCCTTCCCCAAGGAGTACCTTGAGAACAGTGGCTCAGCTTATAAGGACACCCACAGCACGTCCAACTCAGACCTGGACACCAAGCACAGCCCCAGCCAGAGGTAGATGCCCCTCCTCCTCTGTAGGACGTAGGAAGGGGCTTTAGCAGGACCCCAGCCCCCAGTAGCCTGTGACACTCTGATAATATTAGCTGGCCAGACATTGATCTAGGCACTTTACCTACATTTACTCATTTAATCTTCATAACACCTCTATGAGGTAGTTTTTATTTCTCTTTTTATTTTACAAATGAGGAAACTGAGCCACAAACAAATTAAACAACCTGCCCAAGGTCATAGAGCTAACCAGTGGGAGAGGCAGGACTTGAAGCCAAGGAGTCTGGTTCCAGAGCATAGGCTCTGCCAGCTTCACCTAAATGCAGCTGAAGCCACATGCTTGTGCTGGATGGAGCACTGACCTTTAAAAAAAAAAAAAAGTCGGTTCTTTGGGGAAGATAAGGAGTAAATTTCTAACCCCTCAGTGCAATTAAGTTCATCAAATTTATCTACATCCTTCTATAGCTCATTTAGATCCCAAATCCCCACTCTGTCACCTTAATTTTTACATGAAAACTGATTAGTCAACCTCACAGACATGTCACTGTCATCTTTTTTGGATGTGATCTGAGGAAGGAAAGGAGGGTAGAAGAAAGGGACCCAGTCTCCACTTGACAGAAGAGAAAGCTGAGGCCCAGGAGAGTGATGAGTCAGGTCCCCACTGCCAAGTTCTGGCTCTCCTGGCCACACCACACAGGATGCCCCTGTCTGTGACTCTGGGGTAACTTAATTCTGCCTCTCATGCTGCCTCTACATTTCCTGCCTGTCCTCAGCACCATGAGGCAAAGCCCCGGGGTTGGCATGGAAGCCTGGAAAAGGAGCTGACCACAGACTCCCAAAACAATTCCCTGCCAGAGCCAGAGCTGCCCTCACAAGACCAAGGTAGTATGTCCCTGAGGCTCAGCCAGCAAGAGACCCTTCTTCTGCCAATCCTGGCATCTGTCTGAGCCCTGGAGATAGTTCAGTCCTTCTAGGGAGCCCCTGTGTTTCCCAGACACACAGCATTCTCCCTCCAATGGGTTTCCTTCATGCCCAGACCTGCTGTGAGCTCAGAACAGGACAGGAGATCCTTCAATTGTCTACTAGGGTAGCAGGAGGCTGCCAATATTAACTAAAAGGCAGTAGGGATGGTTTTTCTCTCCCTCTCTTACTCCAATTATTGTTCTTTATATCACTGAACCTTGAAGTATTCCAAGTCAGAGACGCCCTGGGTTTGTGGAGAAGACCATACTGCTGAGGCTGCCTGCAAAGCCCCATCTTGCCTGTCAAACTGATAACCACATGGGAGCCTGCTCTTTCTGGCTGTCATGCAAGAATTCAGAGCCCATCACTCACTCCAGGCCTGGCAACTCCAAACACCACTTCAACCTGAAAGGCCACCTCTTTCCTTTCTTCCCGAGCTGAAACACCCCTTCCCACAGGGCCAGCAGGGCCCTCTCCTCCAGAAGGCCTTTCCTGAGAGCCACAGCCCACACAAGCTCCACCTTCTCTGGAGGCCCATAGCCCACACAGCCTGCCCTTTTCACTCTGCCCCTCGGTTGAATCGTGCCCTTGGTGGTCACTCAGCTCTGAGTCCATTTCTTTTCCCAAACAGCACATGGGCACTATGCAGAGTACAGGGGAGTCTCCCTTCCTGCAGCCTGCCCTCACTGCCCTCTGCAGGTCTGGACAGAGCAGTTGCTCCACAGAGATGTTTAATTGGAGGTCTTGTCTGTTAAGGAGCCCAATGTAGATCTCAGCTGTTTTCAGCACGGTCTCAACATAACCTTGGAACCCTTCCTGCTTTTTTCCCCTTCTAGTTTTAAATCCCCAGCATTGCCCAGCTCGCCACCAATCTGGCTCCCTCTGCATCCTGCCTTCTTCACTGCCTCTTTCCTTAAGGCTCCTACCCCATCACAGATTATCACAGGCAACTTGGATTGTTTTCTATTTTCTCCAATGTGGAACTCCTCAGGCCTGGAAGACATTTAACCATCTGTTGCCATTTGCTGTTCTGGGGCTTTTCACTTGGTATGACTTTGGCCTAACTAGACAGTGAGTTCTTTTGCAGGTTTGTCCTTTCTCGGCTGCTTCCAGAGGGAGATCAGAAAGAATGGATGAATGCAAGAATGACTGAGTGAAGCAGTCAAGCAGTGCAGACCCCAGGAAGCTGAACTGCTGGGGGTCTTCTAAATACCTGTTCTAAAAGTGTCCACCTGGGGTCCTGCAGCTTCCCATCCTTAGAGCCCACTTGAATATAATGTTGACACCACTCCCCAAGTCAGATTAGCCATTAGTGTCTATCAACTACATCTTAAGCACCTACTGTGTGCCCATCACTGCCAGAAGGAGTTGCAGAGAAGGAGAAGAGACCAGATTACTGGGTCCTTGCCCTCCACGAGCTCACAATCGAGGTGGAAAGAGAAGATTCACAGGCAGGGGAGCCAAAGTAGGCCTGAGGTTGTACAGCAGTGGCCAGGGCTGCTGGTTTAGTGAGTGTCAGAGAGGAGAGAGTGACCAGTGGCTCAGCTGGAGGGAAGCTGGAGGGCTCCCTCCCCTCCTTGAGGAAGGAGAGGAGAAACAAAAGGAAGAGGGGGAAGAGCAGGTACTGGCAAGGCCTGAGTAGCTAGCCCACTTGAACTTAATTCCCCATAGGACTTTCTAACACCCCCAAAGATGAATCAGCAACAAAACATAAACACCAAACCCAGAAAGAAAACGAGAAGCAATTGTTCCAGCTCCGCTTCCATTTTCCAGCCTTCTCCCTCTCTCTCAGTGGATGAAATAATTGTGGCCGTGAAGTGGCACTTGGAGGGAAAGTTTTAAATCTGCTTAAATGTCACGGTGAGTAATACTTTGCCCCATCTTTCTCTAATTACATTTCTCTTTGATGATCTAAGGTTAAAAAATTTTTTTAACTCAAGTCTTCCTAGAATATCAAGGGTGAGGATACCAAAGAGCTAACCTAATCATGTTTCATACTATTTTCTCAGGGGTCCTGCTCTTTTATTGCATGAGTCTGAGACACCTGTTATTTTATCCCCAAAACTCTGCTATGGAGGCAAGGTAGGAGCCTAAAAGATCCAGCTCTGCACCTTTAAGAGACTGATGCCTCGACAGAAGCTGCTTCTGCTGTTTACACTGGGTAGCTCATTTAGACAGGACTTAGCGTCCTGGGGCAGAAGCTGGGAGGGAGGACATTTCACCATATACCTGTCAGAAAGATGAGAGGTGAGGGCTGTGCCACCTGCTAAGGGGAGATAACCCAAATCCAAAATAAGCCATCATCAGGTGGAAGAGAGGAGAGAGTGGGGATCTCTAAGGAAGAAGGAGCTCTCCACAGCTTTGAGTCCATGAGTGGAGAGACACGAGAGGGGCCATGGTGCACGGGGCAGAGGAGCAGTCCTGGAGGGAACTGGCATTGCAGAGAATGGAGGAGTCTTCACAGCATCTGAAGCAGCCCATGCCCCCTTTCAACAGCAAGCCCACTCCCTGACTCACTCCTGCCCAAGGAATGCTTTTACTTATGTATTGGCTATTATTAATAACATGAATAATTAAACCCCTGTGAATAATTTACTTGGACCTGGGGGTGGCTTCGGTGGTGGCAGGAAAAGGATGGTGAACTTCAGTGGCTCTACCCTGAGCAGTTCCCTTCTTTTCCAGCTGCCTTTAGCTGGCCCCCTTCCCTTTCCATCGGGCTTTGCTTTCAGGGGTTGGGGGCGGCAAGGAGAGAAAGAGAGACCTCAAGCAGAATTTACTCTCCTGAACTCCGATGGCAGAAAACACATGCCACTCAGCTGTTGGAGCCATGCAGCAGCACCACAGGATGATATTGGAGGAGATATCTTGGACAGTTAATAGCCTCTGCTGATGTGCCCTAGGGGACTGGGAGGAGGAGGTCTCAGCCTGGTAGGGACACACACACACACATGCAGTGTGGATATACGCAGGGTCTGTGCACAGACCTAAGCTGCATCCACACAAGCAGGCACACACCGCCAAACCACACAAACAAACTCTCCAAGTGCTTAGCAGGGACATGCCCCCCTTATAAGGGGACTTCACAGGCACACCAAATACACAACCACCAAATGGCAGAGGCTGTATATGTGAGTTTCTGTTCGAGTCCATCTACTTGGTCGATTCTTAGACCAACATATAATACTGGATAACGTAAGACAGGGAAACCAAGTGACGAATTAACTATACTTACACCCGATTCCAGCAAGCAAAGGCAGGAGAAGCTAAAATGAAAGGATGAAGTTCCACAGTTCTAAAAATCATACTTGCTCTTTGGTTTGGGCCCGGGATCCTCAGAGAGAGGCGTCCTGAGCCGACTCGAGGCCTGGGGCTGAGAACCTCGGGCCTCCGGGCCTCCTTCCGTGCTGGAGAGCTCCGTATTGTGCTTGTACCAAATGGGTTTGGCCTGGGTTTTCAGGCAGCTGGGGTCTCATTTCTTTAATTAAAATTGCAAACATATCCTCTAGTAACGTAATGTAATCCGAGGGCTAGAAAAGAGAAACCCTGAAACCCGAGGGCCCGCGCGGCTTAGGCCAGCCGCTCCGCTCCGCCCCGCCGCCCCAGCTCCCAGTCCCGCAGCCCGCGGGGGAGCGGGCGCGTTATTTTAATTTGCCAGGCTTCTGAAGCGAAGAGGCTGCCCTGAAAAAAGCGAACGTGAGAGAGGACGGGGTGCAGGTAAACATCATTAACGTGAAAATATGCTACCCCAGCCAAGTTCACCACCAGTATTTGCCCCCAGAGGCGGGGCTGCTCCGACCCCGCTCCCGGCTCCGCGCCTGCCACTCCCTCTCCCGCGCAGCCGAGATGCCAGCCCCGGGAGGCCTGGCGGGGAGTCCGGCGGGGTCCAGACGGGGCGGCTGGACCCCCGGTTTCCCACGGTAGGAGCGACTCCGCCTCGTACCTCGGGAGCTGTAGGTGCCGGAAACGAAACCCGCGGGGGCAGCGCACGCCGCGCGAGTCTCGGTCCGGCTGCAACCCAGATAGCTATTCGGGGGCTTTCTTTTGATGGTGATTTTAAAAAAATTATTCTATTTGAACCCGTAAAGCAGACGAGGGCAACATCAAGCAGTCCCCCGCGCTGGCTCAGCGGCCACCGCGCCCAGCGCCTTCCTCCCCCTCCAGCGGGCGAGCAGCCTGGGGCGCCGGACTCCTACCTTCCTCCCGCCAGTCGCCGGCGGACCAGCCACGCTCTCCCGGGCGGGGGAGGCTGCCCGGGACGGAGACCCCCACCTTCCGCCTTCGGAGGCGGGCTGGGGTGGGGGTTGGACCCCGAGTCTCTACTCCCGGTACTTCTGCCCCTCGCCGCTGCCCGACCGCTCCCAGCCCCATCCTGGCAGGTGGCTCGGGTGGCGGTAGATGCCGGGCGGGAGGGAGCTGTGGGGCTGCTCTGGCAGGTTGGGGGTGCAAGAAGGAAAAAAAGCAGAGAAAGAGACACACACAGAGAGACTGGGAGAGCGCGCGCGCGAGAGAGAGCTCTTGTCTACAGATTTATCCACATAATATATATTTATGTAGCTTTTTTTCTCTCGACACTGATGAATGTGCGCTCGGATTCCCGGGCGGACTCCAAGCCGGCTCGCTTTTCTAGTCTAAATAAATAAATAAATAAATGGAGCCAGATGGAAGAAAAAAGCGCCCATTCCACCTCCGCCGCCGCCCCGCCCGCCATCCCTGCCTTTGCTTCGCCCGCCTGGCGCCCTAATAGAGCGTAGCTTGGTGGACAACGTCCCCCTACATACCCACACGAAAATAAAAATCACTGTTTTTAAAATACAAAAAGTTGCACCTGCTGCTATTACAAAAAGAACCCTCAAAAGGCAGAGAGAGGAGGCCGTTTGCCCAGCGCCTCGCAGACACTCGCTCCCCGCGGCCGCCGGGCCCGGAATCTCAGCGCCTCCCAAAGAGCCATGCGCCTGACGCTATTTATAGCCGGGGGCCGTCTCGGACTGTACCACCGCCACCGCGCGGGGCCGCCGACGGGGGAGGCGCGGTGGGGCCGGCGCCGCCCCACGCCGCCCTGCCCCCGGCCGCCGCCCGCCGCGGCGCGGGCCCCCACAGCGCGCCCATTCCCGGCCCCCCGCGCCTTCCTCCGCGCGCGCACACTCGCCGCCCCCACCCCTGGTCTGGCTGGGAACTTGAACTGGTCCAGCCTGTTTAAACGGAAAGGACAGAGATCCTGTCCAATGTAAAAAAAAAAAAAAAAAAAAAAAAAACAGATCAGACAGAGAGAGGAGAGAGAGAGAGAGAGAGAGAGGAAGGGAGGGGGGGAGAGCAGAGAGAGAGCGCGAGCGCGAGCGAGCGAGAGAAGAGGAGAAAGAGAGAGAGCAGAGAGCGAGCGGAGAGCGAGGTGTAGAGAAACCGAGGGGGAGAGAACCCGAGTGTGTGTATGCGTGTGCGTGTGTGAGAGCGAGCGAGGGAGCGAGCGAGCGAGAGGAGCGAGAGAGTGCGAGCGAGAAAGAATAAAAGGAAAGAAGATTTTCTCTATGTATATAAAGATGGCCACGTTAGCAAACGGACAGGCTGACAACGCGAGCCTCAGTACCAACGGGCTCGGCAGCAGCCCGGGCAGTGCCGGGCACATGAACGGATTAAGCCACAGCCCGGGGAACCCGTCGACCATTCCCATGAAGGACCACGATGCCATCAAGCTGTTCATTGGGCAGATCCCCCGCAACCTGGATGAGAAGGACCTCAAGCCCCTCTTCGAGGAGTTTGGAAAAATCTACGAGCTTACGGTTCTGAAGGACAGGTTCACAGGCATGCACAAAGGTGAGTGCACCTTTCCCTCCCAACTTTGCTGGGGAGCAGGAGCGGGCGGCGGGCCGACTGGCCGGCTGGCGACAGACGAGCGGCGGACGGAGCGAGAGGAAGCCTCGGGCGGGCGCCGTAGAGGGAGGCGCTCGGGCAGCGGAGACCAGAGCTGGGGTGCGTGGGGAGCTGTTCGCTGGGGCAAGGCTGGGTTTTGGGCGAGGTGCTGATAGGAACGATGCTGTGGAGAGAGCAGCGGGCGCCGATGAAGAGAAAGAGAGAGGGGATCGAGGAGGAGATGAGGCTTGGGATTTTGGGTACAGCGACTTGAAAGATTGGGTTGGGGAAGGCTGCACCGGTCGAGCCCAGGACGCTGAACAGACTGACTCGCGGGCGCCTGGCCGGCCGGGGACCTAGGGTGCTGTCCATCGCCGTGGTGCTGAAAATACTAAGGGAGACGGTCTCCTCATCCTTTGCTCCCGGCCAGAGTAGCAGGAGCGCAGCCGTCTAAAAGGGAGAGAGGTGACAAATTCGAAGAGATATTTTTATTTAAATGTAACGGTAAACTCTCCCTGTCGAGCTGTGTGCCTCAATAATCTGATTGTGGTGTGAGTGGTGCTGTGTGTTGGGGGTGGGAGGTGGATGTTTGAAGGAACCAGTGATAAAACCTAAGGCAAGAATTAGCAAGGAACCAGCCAGCCCCCTGGGTGGAGTGGAGGGTCTGGCAAGCCTGGATAGTCCCCTTCCCAGGAAAGCGGGGCTTTGGGGAAAAAATATGTGTGTGCAAGATTGGCGTTTTGAAAGGTGTACCCTAATTTATCCCAAACTCACCATGCAGAGAGCTTTATAGTACATTATTTCTCCCTTGAAGAGATCATTGCCAGTGAGTGCTTGGGGGAGGGGGAGACAGAATAATCAAAGAATTAAAACCCAGCAACTTTTTAGGAAAGTGGTCATGGGAATTGTCTGCAGCCTGGCTGTTTTCTCCTTGTTTTATTATCTTTAAAGCAGAGCCCCAAACGTGTTCAGTTGTAGAATGTGTGTGGGTGGCTGGTGGGTGACGAAATTAGCCCAGTGCTCCGCTTCCTAACAGTAATGTATAGGCTGTGCAGCGGGGATAAATCGGTGCTGGAGCTTTGTGGGCAAGTTAAATGCTTTCTGGGAGAGATTGATCGCCAGACAGGGAAGGAGCACGGGGCTAAGCAAGTTGTAGGGGATGTGTATGGATGTTCCGTTTTTAATAAACAGTAGTGTGGAGAGCCGCCGAAGATGCTGTTACAGCTGGTGGTTTTAAAGATGAAAACACACACGCACACCCACCCCCACATAGAGAGCAGCCTCATCCTTGGCCACAAATGAGCTATGGACACAGCTGATCCTCCAGCACATTAGGTGCAGAGCGCGGAGCTGTCTGGCTCTCTAAGCAGCAGCGATTTTCACTATCACAACCACCCTCTTTCTCCAGCCCTCCCTTCGTTCGAATACTAAACAGAGCTCCAAACTCTTCATAGTTGGAGTCCCAGAGAGCAGTTTTTATTGGCTTTAGCATCTTCCAGCTTGCCTGCTGAGGAGTAAATCTTAAAGTTAATGGCATGTTGAGTAGCACAAAAACACAGCAGAATGGAAATATACTGGATTTGTTGGGGTGGGGTGAGGGTGGGGGCTGTAATGGAGAGAGAAACCAACCTTTATCCAATATGGAGAAAATGTCTGTCTGTTCAAAAGAGAGACTGGAAAGGTGGAATGGGGAGGAAGCCTTCAAAATGATATTCGAAGAAAAAAAACACTTTCTTTTTCCCCCTTCCCTCTCAAGTCAACCATATCTTTGTAGTTTTTCCCCTTCCAATCAAGCTTCCTAGAAGCTAATCAAGGTTTGTATCAAACCTTTGTTATTCTGAATGTCCTCATTTTTAAAAATAGTAATAATAAAAATTTTGGAAGCATAGGTAGGGAAGTCTTTTGCCCATCTTAATGATCAGTTTTTGTGGTGATTTAAGATTTTAAAGTTAAAAAAATTAGAACCCACTAAAGGCAAAAGACAGTTGTGAGGAGCTGGGCTTCACATGGAATCTGGATTAAAGCACTTTACTTGCTTCTTCATTTCCAATGAAGATAAACTTTAACGATATTCCTTGGTTTCTTTTCTACAATCCCTGATATCATCACTTTGTTTCTGATGTAATTTGAACTCTCTCATATAATAGCAAAGAAGTAGAATTTTCATCATTTACATTAGGGAGGTAGAGAAGGTTATGATTATATCTATATAATATATATAGATAATACATATATTACATATGTGTCCCTCTGACCAGAATTCCTAGAACAAACAAAACTTCATTTTCTAAATAATTTCTCCCCTAAACTGTCTCAGTCAGTGGCAAGCAGGCCCGGTGGCTCCGGCATACTGGATTCCTCGTTGTCGCAGCTCACCCTTCAGAGCCCAAGCATATATTTTTCTCAGTGAAACTTCCTACCTCTCCATCCTTCTGATTTTTTTTTTAATTGAGGTTGGGCCACAATGTCCCTAACAGTTCTTGGAAGCTCTCAGAGAGCTGAATAAATAAGACAGTTTCCAAGGTCTGGTTTATTCAGTCCTAGAAGAGTTTAAACTCCTTCTTCAGTGATGCAGCCTGATTTATTAGCTAATCCTGATAAAATAAGCCTCCGGCCACCTTAAAAAATTACTCGCTTGCCATTGGTGATTAATTACTGTTAAGTCAAAAAGCATGATGAGGCTTGAGGAATTAGGGTTGCATTTGGTTTCTAGATTTCCCCATCTCTAAATTGACAACATAAGGCTAGAGATAGAATCATGCCTTTGTTAAGCCTGGTTTCAGGGCATATTTGTGGCTCTTGTTCTCCCCTTCTTGAATTTCTAACTTCTAATGAATCGTATGGGATAAAATTGAGAGACACAGAACACTGGCCTCCAGTTTGGATGTCATGTGTATGTTATAGGGAAAAAAAAAAAAAAGAAAGAAAGAAGGAAAAGAAAAATAAGTAAAATAACATGGGGAGAAATGCCAGATGTAGGTGACAGGGGAGGGGGATGGAGGCAGCAAACCACATTGCCATGTGTGTACCTATGCAACAATC